CTTCCATACGCTTTTGAGATGCCCCCAGGTGATGTACGAGGCTTTCGTTTATTCATTTCCACTGCCGTGAAATTCCATTGTTTGACTGTTATCACATTTTATTTATCCAATTTTCTGTAGAACAACTGGGTCATTTCCAGTTTTGTTTTGTTTCTTTCCTTTTCTTTTTTCTATTACAAACAGTGCTACAGAGAAAATTCTCGATCATGTCCTAAGTGCCCACCAGCAAGGGTTACATATAGGCCGGGTGGAGTTGCAGGGTCACGGAGCCTGTATGCCGTGTTTTTATTCAACACAGCCCCGATGTAGCTGTTTCAGTTGATCTTGGAGCTCACCCTTGGAGGAGGATCTTTGCTGGGGTCAGGGTTGGGCTTAGGAAAGGGGGCTCCAGAGTGTTGACTAACCGGTAAGTCTTGATATTAGGCTTGGGGAATACCTACCCCTGTGTATAGTCACTCACATGGTAATTCACAGAGCAGTGTGCAAACTTGATCATTTCTCTCCAGTGCTAAGCTTCTGGGGTTGGAAACACCTGTTCAGTTATTGACCAACATCCCAGGGGAACCAAAAACCCAGACGATCTTGTCCCACCTGGGAGACTTGGCTCCTTGGCCAGAGCATGTGGTCTTGGGGGATTTCTTATGTGTGTCCTTCTACAACGAGTCCAAATTTGTCAGCCCTGGATTCAGGGCTCTGTGTTGTAACTGACCGAAGGCAGCTGGGTCTTGGTTAGAGTTTGACCTGTTTCCCTGCTTGTTCTTTTGCCCCTTCTTCCTTCCACCAATATTTTCATTTTTTTTTTTAAGATTTTATCTATTCATTTCAGAGAGAGAAAGAGAATGTACAAGCAGGCAGAGGGGCAGAGGGAGAGGGACAAGCAGACTCCCCGCTGAGCAAGGAGCCTGACCTGGGGCTCCATCCCAGGACCTTGGGATCAAGACCTGAGCCAAAGGCAGGTACCCAACTCACTGAGCCACCCAGGTGCCCCAGTTCATTTTCCTTTTCAAAAATGTTTGATCACATAATAAATTCAAAGAGTTGAAAATTCAAAGTGTAAGATGACGTAAGCAGACTCTGATTCCTGTATCTGACTCCCACCTGCCCAGCCCCCCTTTTGAAAGGTAGTCACTTTTATTAATTTTGTATACATCCTTCTAGAGTTTTCTTTATGTATAAGCAAAAATGAATATAAAGGGGTACCTGGGTGGCTCAGTCAGTTAAGCGTCTGCCTTCGGCTCAGGTTATGATCTCAGGGTCCTGGGTTCGAGGCCTGCATCAGGCTCCCTGCTCAGTAGGGAGCCTGCTTCTCCCCCTCCCTCTGCCTGCTGCTCCCTCTGTGTGTGCTCCCTCTCAGTCAAATAAATAAATAAAATCTTTAAAAAAAATGAATATAAAGTCTTACTTAGTCCTCTTTTTACCGAGAAGATAGCATCTTATACCTAAGACTCCACCATTGCCTTTTCGGGTAGCAATGCTTGCTTCCTTGGTGCTGTACTCTGTGGCATCACACAGAACGTTCCATCGTCCTCTTTGATACCCGCCCATGTCTCTACTGAGTGCGGGGGCTAATGGTGAATCAAGGCCGGCTTTAGGGAGCCCACAGTCCAAGGGCACGCGGACCAATGGTTAGGATGAAGTATTCCAGGAGCTGATCTTTCCAGAACATTTACCGGGAATCACGGACTTGTCAGGCAGCGCTCTGGGCTGACGATGGGGAGCAGAGCTGGCGAACCCCCCCACCCCGCTGTGGCAGAGCTGGTGGTCTGGCACAGAGAGTGGGGGGGTCCTGTGGGGGGGCCCATGGAAGACCCCGACCTGGTCTGGGGGTCCGAGAAGCCTGGCTAGCAGCTGAGGAGGACTGGCCAGGGGAAGCGCTGGAGGGAGGCGTCTTTGGGGAACCCAGAGAAGTTCCTGAGTGCCGAGCTGAGGGGGGCGGGGGCCAGAGCGGGAGGCCTGGGCAGCAGCACCCCGGTGAGGGCCTTGTTACCACAGAGGGATTCTGTCCCCATGGGTGCCACGGGGAAGGCCGGAGTGTGGAGTGGCTGGGAAAAGAACAAGAGGGCTGGCAGGAGCCCCACGGGGAGTGCCGAGGGTGGTCCAGGCATAACAGGCCAGCCGCCCAGAACTGCCGGTAGAGGAGAGGGGAAGGGGGAAGGGAATGGCTGGCACCAACCCCCAGGCCCAGCCCAGGTTTACTTGGTAATAATATTTGGTTTTGTTTTTTCCCAAGGCCTAGGGGTATGCGCTGCTCAGAGCCTGGGCCTAGACCCTCCCTGTTATTCATACAGCCTGGAGCGCCCCTCGGAGCAGGGCTGTGGTGGGACAGGGGTGGCCTGGGTCGGAGCCGTCTTGTTTATTGGGGTCCTCTTCTCTGAAGGGAGGGTGATGAAGGGGCCCCCAGAAGTGCTGCCCACCCCCACTCCTGGGCCCTGGTGGTCTCACTTAGCCCAGAGTTGCAGCCCCCACAGGCGGCCTCTCTCTGCAGGGACCTGCCCTTACCGGGTCTGTACTGAGTCACTGGAAAGTTCTGTCCTGCTCCTGACACTGGAGAGGACGCAGAATGGCCATTTAGGCCTGGGGTCGACTCTCCGCATGGTTCTGGCAAAGACAGATCCTCACCTTCAAGCCGCTGTGTGTCTGCCACCAGGGGGGCCTGGCTGGGGGCTCTGGCATTATGGAGAGCACTGAACGCAAACTTGCTTCCTCAGGACAGCTGCGGGTGTGTGTAACCCGCTCTCCAAAGACCATGCACTTGGTTTAAAGATCCGCTGTCACCGTCTTGAAATTCATTTTGGAATAAGAGGTAGGGCGCTTTCCTTTTGCTGCCCCGGGCCCCCCAGTTACTTAAGCCAGTCCTAACTTTTTGTGTCTTCTCTTCAGTATCTTTTGAATTTTGAACTGTAGCAACATGTTTGTTTGCATTTTATTTCACTTAAAAAAAAAAAAAAGACTTTATTTGAGAGAGAGAGAGAGCATAAGCAGGGGTAACAGCAGAGGGAGAAGCAGGCTCCCCGCTGAGCAGGGAGCCCGATGTGGGGCTCGATCCCAGGACCCCGGGATCATGATCTGACCCGAAGGCAGATGCTTAACCGACTGAGCCACCTAGGTGTTGTTTTTGAAACTTAATAAAATGCCAAAAAGAAGAACAATAAAGTACAAGTTTATTATTGTGGCACACAGTTTGCAACAGTTCATACGCCCATTGCACGAGCTGCGGTAGACACACACCCGAACACCATATGTCCAAGCCACAGTCCAGGGGACTCCCAGGAAGCCCGCGTGAAGGACACAGACAGTGCCTTACTCCCAGACACATGCCGCTGCCCAGGATGAGCCAGTCCTTATCCCACAGCTGGGTGGGGAGACAAGGCTCCCCAGACTCTCCTGCTGACCCCTTCCCCCCAGGACTCCCTACCTCCGGGAGTATCGTCAGAGTCAGAGGACATCAGAAGTCCTGTGCTCGCACGCCAGCTCTGCTCGGAGCTGAGGGCAGGGTGCATCTGTGCAGACAGGAGACCTCCGTGGCGGGCAGTCATGTGGCCTGGGAGCCTCCGAATGGTCATCTCATCCACCCCTGTCAGCTGGGCCCTGCCTGTGCTCTCTGTTGCCAGAGAGTCTGCAGGGACAGGGAGTCTACGAGTTTTCCAGAACCCTCATCCTAGTATGGGTCACTGATGTGGATTTCTGGCCTGAATCATTCATGCTTCAGTTTTTGCCCATTTCTTGCCAGGTGGAGGAAACTGGGATTCTCCTGCCCCTCAGATCTCACGGGTTAAACATACCCACAGCCTGAGGACCAGCTTTGAGGATTGGCATGGAGAGAAAGGCCCTTGCTTCAAGGGTCAGGCAGTGGCCGCGGGCCGCTCAGCCTGCAAGGAGCACGGCTGCCCTCTGGTGGCCAATCAGCGGCAGCTCAAGGAGCCGCTGCGGGGGGGGCGGGGTCCGCTTTGCTTGTCTCTGGGACAGCAGCAGCTTTGAGTCTACAGGTCAATGAATGTCCTTGCACTGTTGCTGGACCACAGCAAGCCTGTCCTCACCTCAGGGCCTTGGCTCTTGCTGCCTCCTCTCCCTGAAATGCTCTTTGTCTAGATCTCCAGTGGCAGTCCCCTGTGCATTCTCTAGTCCTTATGCCAAATGACACCTCCTCAGGGAAGCCTTCCTGGACCACTTTGTCTGAAACAGCACCAACTGCCATTCCTGTTTCTTTCTACCCCATTTCCTTGTATGCTTTGTTCAAGCGCGTATCTACTATTTGAGAATAGGTTTCAATTCTGTGCCTGTGACTTCTCTCCCTTATCAGAACGTGGGCTTCCGGAGAGCAGGGTCCCTGTTGGTTTCATCTGTCACTGGACCTCCGTGCATTGTACCTCAGAGATACCCAACGATACTCATTGAAGGAATAAATAAATGCATACCAACGAGAGCAACTGAGATTTAAGCTGACCTTCAGGTCCTCGAAATCATATCTGAGCTACCAGCAGAGAGGAATGAGCCAGTCCTTGGTGCGTTTTCCTGGGCTCCATACCCTGGGGGGGACAGAGCGATGTTCCAGGCCTGAACCATGGCCACCAAGGGTTGAGGCAGGCCCTCCCTTCTGGCCTGGTGACCAAGGGACCCTGAGCTGCGGCCTGATCCCAAGCTGTTCTGTGGTTCTGCAGGTGTGTGGTGGCCTGGGCGAGGAAGGCCAGCTCACAGGAGAGTAGAACAGGACTCCGGAGACCATGGCCCATCTGCCCGCAGAGCTGCGTCTTCTGGAGCAGGACTGTGTTGGGGAGGGCGGGAAGCAGGAAGGCTGGAGCCAGCGAGGAATGGTGACTCCTCCAGGGTCCAGATTTGGCTGTGACATTCTGGGTTCCATCGGGGCCCCTGAGGGCCCAGCCGTGTCCTCAATGTACTCAGCCCGAGGCAGGGGCTGCACTCTGATCTGGGCCCGGCACAGATGCGAGGGGATAGGGGGCTCCAGCCTCAGAGCCTGGATTCCTGGGGCTGGGCTCGGGCAGGCGGGGGGCTGGCGGGGGCTGGGATGCCCAGGTCCCAGGCAGGCTTCATCTGAGCACCAGGGCGGGAGTCTGAATGATCAGCAACATTTACTCCTGGACTGGTCTTCTGGTGAGAGCTTGATGGAGTCTGTGAGGTAGTTCTCTAAGATGCTGCGATACTGGGGAGGGAAAGAGAAGCCAGAGCTCACATCCTGAGAGGTAAAGCGCCTCACCTGCCTTCGGTCTCATACTGGCTCCTGGTGGTTGGGCTTTTTATTCCTTCCCTTGTGCATTGGGAGGAAGTGGAGGTCCAGGTGGAGCGGGGTGGGGGGGCAGGCACTGGTCTTCCCCACGCTCTTCTTTCCTCCCCTTCTCCTCCAGCTTCTTCCCTGGAGCCCAGAGCAGGTGGACGGCACGAGTCTCCTGACCTCCAACGAGGACCCACAACTCTCCATTCTCCAGAGGGAGAAACCGAGGTGACATCGGACCTCAGGCAGACATGACAACCCACTCCTTCTTTCTGTTGGAGACCTCTCCTCACAAACACCCACCACGTCTGCCTCCCAGCCTCCCCCACCGCTGCCAGGGCACCCGGAGGGGCCCAGTCAGTCCTCGGCCCTTCCCATGGCCTCTGTCCTCCCTAAAACACACTCAACGCTTCCGAGGGGCCTGTTTGCTTCTCCGCCCACCTTCCCTTGGGTCCCGACAATGTCCAGAGAAAGCCTCTCCCAACCCAGCGGGCTGCTTCTCTCCCAGGACCCACCCTGCTTGGCTTGGGGTGAGGGAGGCGTGGGGCAAGGGGACCCTTCCTCCAGGAGATGAATTCAAGGGCGAAAGGGTCTCTACTTACAGGGACCCCACGTCTTTACTCTGCCCGGCTCTCACCAGTCACCAGGCTTAGGCATCCGAGCCCGCACCCCTGATACTGCGTGTGTGAGCGTGTGAGTCGGCGAGGGCCTCTGGCTGCCTTGGCGTGGACCCGAGCTACCCCCGTCACTACTGGTGCAATGTCACAGCCCTTAACGCTGTGGCCCTGGGTCCCAGGAGGTGGTGTCAGGGCTCCCCTGCTGCGCCCTGAGACACAGAAGATGGTCCCCTGCTGCCCCATGATTCACTGCCACCCCCGGACAGCGTGGTCATTTAGCCTGATGTGCAGAGCCGGGATCCGGCCCTTTTCCACGTAGTTTGTTTCTGGAGAGCCCTTGTCCCTCAGCCCTCCCACAGAGGGTCTCACGGGGCCTTCGTCAGCCTGGGTATCCCTGGACAGATTATTTAGAGTTATTAGAATGTATATAATAGAATAATAACAATGATAATAATTTTAACAGGAAGGATTAGTGCCGGGGGGTGAGGGGCTGTGTTTGCTCCGCAAGGGGTCCATCACTCTGGAGATGTCTCCACACCCCAGATCGGTCTCCCCCAGCTGCGGAGGATGCCTCGCTTGACCCAGGGCCATCCCAGACCTTCCCCAGCTCCCTGAGAGAGAACCCCACTGGAGGTGTCTGAAAAGAGGAAATGGGGCCGAGTGGCTCCTTGCCAGCACCATGCAGCCTGGCGTGCGGGCTCCGGCCTGGGCAGCCCTGCGTGTGTCCAGTCCTCCCGCTGGCCCTTTCTGCTGGGTGCGGGGTCCTCTCACGTCACGGAGCGAATGTGACCATCCTGACATTTCCAAACCTCCCCGCGAGGGCCGAGGAAGAGCACAGCGTCCCTGACTGAGGCCCTCATTACACCGAGAGAGCCGGCTGTCCCTGAGAGGAAGGTTTTGGAAGGATTCTCCTATTGTCTGGTGTTTTCTGGGTCCCTCCCTCATCATGAAAGCCCGAGACCTTGGCTGGGATCTGGAACTTTCCTCATCAGATCTTTGGACCCAGGTGGCAGGGCCTGCTGGTTCATCCCCCCAAGTGTGCCCCACCCTCATGTCCATGCAAGGCCCCAGTGGGACCCCAGAGCCCCTCATGACCAGAAGCCTGTGCCACTGTCCACAACGCCAGCCTCTGCGGAAGGAGACTGGGTGTACCCGGAGGGGCTGCGGCCGGGCTTTCTGGCTCCTTTGCATTTTATTCTAGAGTCAACCAGATCACAGGAAGGTGTGAGAAACCTCCTCATTCATTACACTGGCAAAGCCTGAGGTCTTCACACCAGCCTTCTTCACCCAGTAATAGTCACACCTCCCCAGGTCCCTGTCACCAGAGTGCTTCCCATTTCTGACATCATTTCCGTGCCCTTGGCAATGTGTGCGTCTAACTGGAAAGTCACACAGTACCATCCTCACACATGCACCTGTGGGCCCAAGTGCTGTGACTGACTGTGGCATCTGTCCTCGCAAGCCTGGTCACCGATATGGCCCTGCCTTTAGATCCTGCCTCTGGGGGACCTCAGAAAGGTCCTGCCCCTTCACCAAGCTTACTTGCTCACCAGCCAGCCTGCTTCCCTCCTGGACGTGGTGATTGTGTCTTTTTCCTGTTAGCTTAGAAAGAACTGGGCCTCCAGGCTGCAGGTCACACCACGGGGGCCGGGCCTGACCACTCCCAGCCCAGAGAGAGTGCCAAGTTGGTAAGAGCAACCTCTCATCATCCCAGGTCCCCTGAAGCAAGCAGTGTCCCTTCTTGGATCACAAGGGCATTCTTAATCATATTCTGGAATAACTAAGTAGCCCCATCCTTGGAAGCGGCCAGATCAGGGTATTGAAGTACCTACCATCTTTCCTTTCAAAATGTTAGCCACGGATCTATTCTGGTGTTGAACTCACAAATCACTTTCCAACCAGAGTTTGCTGCAGAACTCAGATGTTTTGGGGGACCATGAGTGTGTCATGTGCCCCAGTGGGCTGCAGCACCCCCTCCTCTAGATGCTTGTGTTCTCCCCTCTCTTCTCTAGCTTGGTCCCTAGCGTTGTATGCAATCCTGCCTCCGATTGCCAAGCTGGGAACCTGGTCATCGACTTAAAACAGCTACTGGTTCCTTCTCTCCTACATCCATCATCAACCGCTGAGGCTCTCCCTCCAAAGTCTGCTGAATCCACCCAGTCCTGCCACCTCCAATCAGTCATGCTTGGACTGTTGCAGTACCTTCTCATCTGCCCCTGGGACCTGCCCTCCATGAAGCGGGGAACTGCCCTGGCAGAAACCCTTACGCAGAGCTCCTGTTTTAAAACAGCTACCTTCTGTTCAATGCCTTCTCTCTACGATGAACTGCTTTCTTCGGCCCTTGCTACAACCCCAGTAGAAAGATATTATTATTTTTACTTTAAAGAGACAGAAGTGGTGGCTGACGGAGGCTGCATGACTTGCTTTAGGATGCACAGTTAAGAGATAGAGTCTGGACTTAACATCAGATGCACCGGGCTTTGGAGTCCCAGACTGGGCTTCCCTCCCCACCCACCCCTCATTATCTCTCTCTCAAACCCTCCACCACCTCCCTGGGAAGGAGAGAAAAGCCCTTGGTAGAAAATGTCTTTGAAAACATGTTTGACCTTAAACTAGAAATGTGCAATCTCCAGTTTCACTTTAAACATCCATGGGAATTTTAGATTCTACGCTCTAGTAATTATGTTTGTTTCATTTTAATGTGAAAATATTTCTCCTTCCAGTTTCTGAGTAAAGGACACGCCTGGTGGGGTGTCAAGGTGCTGGGTGAGCCCCCACGTGCCTCCGGTCCAGCGGTGCGGTCTGGACAGCCCGCACCTGCAGCATGAATTTCAAGTCCCTGTTAGGGCTCTCCAGGACCTCATGATCCGTGCTGTTGACCTTGGGGATCTTCCTTGCTTGCACCACACCCCTGCTTCCCTTCATGCCATGTTTCCTTCTACAGACCGACCCACAGTTGGTTCCTCACATGAGCCCTGTGGGTTGGTCCCTGCGCCTCTGGCCATGCCCTTCTCTTGTGCTCCCCCGCACTCGTGTCCACCAGCAAACTGCGTATTGTCTTTCAACACTCAGGTCACATGCCACTTTTGTAGACAGCATCCTCACCCACCCTTGCCACCAGCCAGCCTGCACTGAGTCATCTCTGTGCCTTGACCCTGCTCCCTCTGGGGCACGTAGCTCTACGGCAGCCTGTCTATGAACGTCTTACTCCCCTACCTGACCTCAGAGCCCCTGAGGTCCCTAGCTCCAGCCCTAGCCTTTGAACTCAATCAATGTTTCTGGGATTGCATTATTTCCATTTTACAGACGAGGAAACTGAGGCCCAGAGAGTCCCATGTCTTGCCCAGGGGTCCACTTGGAAGCACCAGGGCGGGATTCGAATGTAGGTCAGCCTGACTGTGGACACTGTACTTGTGACTTCCAGACTTCTCATTGTAAGTTTCTGCCATCGACATGAGGGACTGACCTGGGCTTGCTAAGCCATTCTCTCACCAGGTAGGATATTAAAACACCACCACCACCACCACCACCACCATCAGTAGAGAACTTCATAAAGTGGACACAGCAAGAAAGACGTAACTTTAAGAATAAAGGACACTCCTTCTTCAGAAAGGGCGGATGCCGGCCACACACAGACACGGGCTGTGGGCAGATGGTGCTTCCCCATGACTCAGCATTTGGCAGTCACTGCACAGTGTTTGCGGAGAATCAGAGCGCCATACAAGGGCAGACAACATTCCTCCGCTTTCCAGAGGACGGCATGAGCAGGCACAGCTGTGGGTTAAGAGCCAACGTTGCGGACTGTGTCATAAAACCACACCTCTCGATCATGCGCTAGAGACGAACGCCCCCAGCTTCCCTTTAACACAAGGCAGCAGGGGCTGGGGGCTGGGAGGGGAAGCACAAAGACAGCCTGTGGGGGCAAACCCTGGGATGAAGGCTTGGAGATGTCCGGTGGCACACTCGGGGCGTCTCCCCGGGTGGGCAGCCGCTAGGAGGGGGTTGCTGCCTCTCTCGCCTGGTCGACGCCCCCAGGCAGGGCCTCGGGGCCAGGCAGCTGGTCACCCACGACATCGGCAGGCTCCTCCATGGAGTGGAAACCCCCCATCTCTCATGCTCCTTTCCTCAATTCAAAATCATTGCTGCCATGAGCGTCTCCCTTCTTCTGAGAAGCCCACCCTGATTACGTGTGGCAGACTGATGAGGCAAGCTGATCCCTTCCCTGTGCTGATCACTCAGGAACCCTCCTCTGAGTTTCCAGACTCCGTATCGGAAGGGGATGAAAACCCTGCTCCTGTCTTCCCTGATCTTCCCGCCCTCCCCGTCCCCCACAGCTGGGGTGCGCGCCGCTTCTCAGGACCCCCCACTAAATCCTTTCCCAGCACACACCTGTACTGTGACCATGCGTGGGCTTATCGGACTGCCTCCAGAGAGCAAGGGGCCCTGAGCCTTCACACTGCCCTGCACAGATGACACACTCAACACGGGGTCCACAGCTACCCGGCTGTTTGACTGGAGCATGTCAGCAACTGCGGCAGACTCGATCTCCCCCTGGACAGATGCTTGGGCGTGTGGGGCTTCTCTCCCACCAGCCCGGATTGAGCTAGATCATCGTTCGCAAACCCTTACTGCTTGAGCATGTCCAGGGGTGAGGGGCAGAACCGTCTGTCTCAGAAACTGCATAGATGATACTCCGCCAGACGGAGGAGGACCAGCTCTCCCCGCAAGGGAGCCTCATACTTCTGACCTTCTGGGGCTCAGAATCAGGGTATGGCCGAGCCCACTGCGTAACTCATTAGGACAATGAGCAAGCCTGTCCTACCCACGGCCCTACATGCACCCAGTGTATTCTCTGGAAGCTCCCGAGTTTCTCATCCTCGGGGGGCGTCCTGGAGGTACTGTCCCCACAGCCACTCACCCTGGACAGAGCCCGGCTGGCCAGCATCTCAAAGGCTTGTACCACGTTGATGTCATTCTTGGCACTGACTTCAAAGTAGGGGATATCCTTCTCTTTACACCAACCTTGGGCTACCTCCTGGGGCACCTGAATGAGGAAGACGTGATCACTGACCCTGTATCATCACCGCCGCCATCTCCACCGTCGTCATATTGCCCACCACCATATCCCCACCTCCGCTCCCATTTATTGAGAATCTTTCATGTTTCCGAAACTTGACATGCACTCTTTAAAAACAAACAAAAACAAAACTTATTTCACAGAGAGAGAGAGAGAGAGAGAGAGAGAGAAAGCACAAGCAGGGAATGCTGCAGAGGGAGAGAGAGAAGCAAGCTCCCCGCTGGGCGGAGAGCCCTATGTGGACCCTGGGATCATGACCCGAGCTAAAGGCAGCCACTTAACCGACTGAGCCGCCCAGGTGCCCCTACATACATTCTTTCTTAACATAAATCTATGAGGTGGTTACTGTTAGCTCCATTTTCCAGATGGGGAAACTGAGGTCCGTGCTCAGAGTGTACAGGGTTGAGCAGGACTTGAGCACAGACCTGGAGAAGAATTAGCGCTCACTGTACTATATTGCCTTCCTAAGGCTCACACTAGGCACTTCTTCCTGCCGTTGGCTCCTCCTCCTGTCACTTCAAAAGGAGAAGAACACTGCAGACACTAGCCAGGATGGAGGAGTTCCATCCCCGGAGCTGGCTGACTACGGCCTGTGCCCAAGAGGTCTGCTGCTGAGGACAGACTCAGGTCCTTGCTAACCCTTCTTCCCCAGGGTGGAGTCCTAGGAACAGTGGGTAAGCCGCCTCTCTGGGCTGGATGTCTCGTCCTATTCATTCATTCAGTCCCGCCCGTGACCTTGTGAGATGGGTCTTATCAGCTCCACTTTATAGATAAGAACGCAGAGGCTCAGAGGGGTTTAGCAACTTGCCTCAGGTCACACAGCTAAGAGGGCAAAGCAGGAAGGCAGCCCAGCTCAGGGCTCCAGTGACATCAGGGCCACCCTCTGTAGGGCACCGCATGCGGACCGTGCCCCTCCTGCCTCCCCCGCTAGACCACTGGCTCCTGGAGCTCCGGCTCAAGGTCTTTTCAGCTACTGACCTGGCACCAGGGGCCACTCAGTGTGGGTGGAACGAGTACATCTCTCCCGGGACTGCAAACGGCCCATCAGGGTTTGAGCATGTTGGAAAGCGCCCAGCAGCCCTGCAAATTCCTCCCAAAGACAATTGGAGCCATTCAGTTTAACGTGGAATTATTTCCGGGAGGAGGAAATGGCCATAGAGTGAACATTTGCTGTGCTTGGTACTTTGAAACCATGATTTCATTTTACTTAAGAGGGCAGGGTTTTTATCACGGAGAAAGGACATTCTGCCTCTCTCCCAGGAGACAGTGCAGCTGGGGGGAAATCACAGACGGCCTCCCTCACCCCTGCATGTCCTAGCAATGACTGTCTCACTGGGATTAAATAAAGGAAGGACCCCTGTCCCCTGTCTCTTTGGTTCTTGCTTCCCTGGGTCTCAGGCATGATGGCAGCACCGGGGGCTCACAGCGGTCTCTTCCAGTGCCTCTGCTCACACCAGCATCGCCCGGCGATGGGAGGTTACCACCTGAGACTGGAGGGTGCAAAGCTTGGGGTCAGCCAAGCAGCCTATCCTTTGGGGTGCTAGCAGATGCCTCCACACCCCGTTTCCAGGTCCTGGGGGGAAACCCTAGGCCTTGGTCTTGGCATCTGATCTCTGAGACCCTCCTGCCTTTATGGGGAGGGCCCCAGAACTGGTCTGGATGGCTTCCTTCCACAGAGCACCGATGCCCAAGTCCTGGTGAGCAACCAAGAAGGCTCACAGTTCAGGAACATTCTGAACTCTTTGGAGGAAGGGTCAAGGGTACCTGGTGATTTGTAGTGTCCTCACCGGTAACCACAAACAAATAGGCCTGAAGAGCTCATCGTTGTACCTGGATGGCTCCTTACTAACGCAAAGGGCTTCCTGCCTTGTAAAGTCCTCCCGCACGAGGACGGGACCGACACTCCTTACTGTGCCTTCCTGCTTTCCTTCTTTCTGTCCAGCCGCCCGGCCCCCCCGCCCAACCCTCTGCCCCCCCAGGTACTGAGCATTTGACAAGACACACCACTGATACACAGGAGACAGATGCAGTAAAAACGGAAGTCAAGTGAAAAGAAGTCAAGGCCTCCACTTCTCCAGGATACAGGGACATCTCTTGTATTTCGTGGCACGAGATGCAGAAGCCAGGATAAGTGCCCACGGGCCCAGCAACCACAGAGCTGGGATGGCAACCCTGCAGCGGCAACCCACTCCGCTGGGCTCCCTCCCCTCTCCCCTGGCTAGATGCTGGATGGTTGACAGTGACAGGGCCCATCTCGTGCCTGGTTCTAACAGGCGTTTTATCTTATGTGCCCCTGATCTTACTCTGTTGGGTTGATACCGAACAGTTAAATACACACTCCAAAACGTCAGCTGAGATTATGTCATAAATTAACCTTCTTGGGGCGCCTGGGTTTGGCTCAAGTCATGACCTCAGGGTCCTGGGATTGAGCCCCACACCAGGCTCCCTGCTCAGTGGGGACTCTGCTGCTTCCTCTGCCTCTCACTCACTCATGCTCGCTCTCTTTCTTAAAAAACCAAAAACGAAAAACCTTAAAAAAGGTCCCTTCCCCTCCCCTTCTCAAACTCAGTGAGCAGGCCTGGGAACAAAGCCTCCCAGACACACCTTTCACTACTGGCTTCCAGCTCTTGCTGTGGTTTCATGATTGTTTCAATCATCTTGTCTTTTATTTATAAAATGACAGTTCTTTATACTCTAGGCTCGGACTGTGGAAATGAATTCAGGGTGTGCTGCTTGGGGACTTGGGAAATAGGAAATTTTTGAAAGCATTACTTTGGTTAACTTTGCTTTTGTCTGACAATATATACTATTAACATATTTCTTCTGCTATAATCTTGTTTGTCAGAGAGCAAATGTTTGACAAATCTAGCTCAGTCTGCATAGTTTTATGTATGACACCTTTCCATCTCGTATGCATTTTATTTATTTTATTTTATTAAATATTTTATTTATTTGATAGGGAACACAAGCAGGGGGGTTAGGAGAGGGAGAAGCAGACATCCCACTGAGCAGGGAGCCCGATGCGGGGCTCTATTCCAGGACCCCAGGATTATGACCTGAGCCGAAGGCAGATGCTTAACAACTGAGCCACCCAGGCACCCCTAGTATATGCATTTTAAACGACCAACTGTATAAATGTTAACAGTGTGTCAGATACATCTCAAACCACTAGCAAAAATAAGAGAGAATATTTTCAGAAAATAGAATTCCCATGTTGGTGATGAGTCAGAAATTGCCTACCTGGGCACAGAGCAAAGAATTCACATTCTGGTGAATAAATTCCTTGTAAGGATGGGTGCTAGTGGAGCTGTTCTTTCTACCAAACTGGTATTTTTCCACTATGACCTTCTATAGCAGGAATAGGGTTTTGTTTTTTTAAGTCAACAAATCTCTCTAAAATCATCCTGATGGTAAATATATGTATATATGATACATACATATATAACACATATGTGTTTTATTGTGGTAACATACACAGCATCTTCATAAAGACAAATTTTACCATTTTAACTATATTTTAGGGCACAGTTTGGTGGCATTAAGCACATTCCTGTTGTGGGTAGGAATGGATGGGTATCACTCCCACCCATCTCCAGAACTTTTTCCTCATCCTAAATCTAGCAATACAGTTTTAAACATTTACTTCCTTTTTATTAAGTGGGAAAAACTCCCGTGTTTTCTCAGCCCATCGGTTGGAGGAAGTAAGAGGGAGGCTGACAACGGCTTTGGTGTATTATGATCCTCACGTGCCTTATGCTGCCACTTCCTTCAAGCCCCAGGCCAGCTCCTGAGGTCTGCGTCTGGCCTCCCTGTCCCCCAGATTTGAGCCCAGGGAAGGCGCTTCTTCAGAGGGCCCCTGGCTCTTAGCCGCTCAGCCCCATGCAAGTGAGAGCGCAGAGCACGTCTCAGCCGGCCTTTTCTGTCCCCAAACCTTCTGCAAAGCTGGAGCCGAACAAGGACACTGAGGGGCAGCGGCTTCCCAGCCTCCCTCTCCTCACTCATGGTTCCTCCTCTCCACTTCCCTGCCCGCATTTCATTATTGCCCAGTGCTTCCCCACCTCCAGCCTCTGCCTCCCTCCACAGATGCGCTCCCCAGGGCTTGCCCGTGGACAGACCGACTCCCCTCGCCCACCCTCTTCCAGGGTTCTCTCTCACTTCCCCACCTTGGCTGAGCCCCGGCTTCTCCTGGAGTCTCTGTTCCGCCTGTCACCCTCACCAGAGGGGGGCTATCTCCAAAGGATGCTCACCAGAGACCCCAGAGAGGGGGATGGGCTTGCCTGGGGCCTCTCTGCTTTGTTCAAGTCTCTATCTTTCCTCTCTCTGCAGAGCAAAGACATCCTCCACGCCCGTGAGGCTTGGGCAGACACCCCTCCACCACTCGGAGTCATCACCTGTTCCATCCTGCTTGTTGCCATCCTGACCCCCGTCACCCACGCCTCCCAGGGAAGCCTCACCATCCCTGCCCCTCCAGCGGAAGGAACACAGACTGCATCTTCTCTCCAGCTCAGCCTCCTCTTCCCAGGTCTTGACTCAGGGACCTCTGTCAAATATTGAATCTGGCTTCCCATTCTGCGACACAGTCTCCTTCCCTTCAACTTCCTCCCACCCTCCGCCTTTCTGCCCTGCCCTTCCGCCTTGGACACCGCAGCTGCCGGCTCCTTCAAACCTCTCCTCGGCTCTCTTCTTCCCTTGGGGGCTTGTCCATGCCCCCACATCGCTACCCTTCAGCCACTCTTGTCTGGAAACACCTTAGTCCTAGGTCCCTCGTTCCTGGCTCTCAACCCTCACGTGGCTACTGGAGAAAAACCCCATGCAGATGCCAGCTCTAACTCCTGGTCTCCATCACCTGAGCCTCTAGTGTCCCCCACCCGTTCTTATCCTTGACCTTGACTTCTCTCCAGGGTAACGGGCAAAGCTTCACCATGATTCCTGAGACTTTGACTCGGCTCCCTTCCTCCTCCTGCTCAACAGAAGCCCGTGCCTCTGATTTCACTGAGAAAAAAAATCAAACTCTCAGGCCTGGAATCCTTCAACTTCCCACCCTGACCTGCAGGCTCATGAAGCAGGATGTTAAAATGGAAGTTTCGGCAGAGGTGCTACACTTTGGTGGATGTCAGATATAAAGTAGGTTGGGAGACAGACCACCCCAGGAGCTTGCCCATTTCCAAAAGTTCATGACCAAGCAATTGTTAGATGACTCTAAGACCCACAGCATGGATATAAAAGGATTGAAAAGAGGGTTAGAAAGGATTTCTTTGCAAATAGCTGTGTTGTGGGTATACACCTTCCCCTCCTGCAAAAAGAGAACAGGGTAAAGCCTGGTCTCTGCCAAAAGGAGGCTACAAGGAGGCCACCTGGAAAGCTTAGCATCGGACCCCGGGAGTTTGGTGGGTACAGTGGACAGGTGCCTGACATGCCCCTGAGGGATTTAAAGCAAAAGGTGACAAGGCAGAGAGAGAACAGACTGCCATGAGAATGAATCTCCCTTCCCCCCTATGAGGGAGCCAGAGCTCAAGAGCATGCCTCATGAAGCAGACTGGGGGAGGGGGGCGCGGAGCCAGCGCCAGCCAGGATCTGTTATGAATTCCCTCAGCAGCACTGCCTGCAGGATCTGGTGCCCCCAGCTGGGTGGAGGATGGAAACTCAGGAGATGAGGAGAGAGAGGGGGAAAATGCAAGATCCTGGTCATGGGAGGGTCAGTAAATGCTTCCCGTGGAGGCCGCTTAAGGACCCAAAGGTAACTGGTGGAAGAGAGATCTTGAAACACCTATCAGGACCAGAAAGTAGAAAGTATCTCATGATAGTACCCATCAAACCAGGATTTTCCTGATCTCCTGATTTCTCCCTCTTGCTTTTTTTTTTTTTTTAAAGATTTTATTTATTTATTTGACAGGCAGAGATCACAAGCAGGCAGAGAGGCAGGCAGAGAGAGAGGAGGAAGCAGGCTCCCCTCTGAGCAGAGAGCCCAATGCGGGACTCTATCCCAGGGCCCTGGGGTCATGACCTGAGCCGAAGGCAGAGGCTTTAACCCACTGAACCACCGGCGCCCCATCCCTCTTGCTTCATTTCTGACAGCGTCTGAAGCCAGAATTATCCAGGGAGGGGGAGGTAGCATGGACACGTATGGTTGGCAATGAGATGTAAAGGAACATCTCCCCCACCTAGACCACAGTGTTCTCACCTGTAACTGCCCCAAGTTGGAAAAAGAAAGGGAGACACCTTGCCTTTCAATGAACTTAGGACTTTGATTATTACCTGAGACTGGATGTTTGCAATTAGAGAACTGACACTAAATTTACAACCTGAAATGACCACAGAATCGATGTTGCCTAGATTTCTATTCCCAGCACAGACATCTCCTTTGAAGTTTTATTCTTGTATATTCTACAGCCTACTGTCATCTCCAATTTGTTGTTCTACAAGTTCCTTAAACTCTTTCTGAACAGGAGGCTCTTCTTAATGATAGTGGTAACCTCGTTGGAAGCACCATTATCCATCCAACCATCCATCCGTCCATCCATCCATCCATCCATCCATCCATCATCCACCTGTTGGTCCATCCATCCATCCACCCATCCACCTGTTGGTCCATCCATCCATCCATCCATCCATCCA